GACAGAGCCTCAAGCTGTCGCTCTGGGTAGAGTGCTATGGCATCACAGCTCACAGCAACCTCCCACTCATGGGCTCAAGCGATTCTCCTGCCTCTGCCTCCCAAGTAGCTGGGACTACAGGCACCCGCCACAATGCCTGGCTATTTTTTGGTTGCAGCCATTATTGTTATTTGGCGGGCCCGGGCTGGATTCGAACCTGCCACCTTAGGTGTATGTGGCTGGTACCTTAGCCTCTTGAGCCACAGGCGCTGAGCTGGTACCCTCTTATTTAAAAACCACTAATGGTTGTCCGTTCCCCTGAAGATAAAATTTTTTTTTTTTTTTTGAGGTAGAGTCTCACTATGTTGCCTTGGATAGATTGCCATGGTGTTACAGCTCACGGCAACCTTAAGCTCTTGGGCTTAAGAGATTCTCTTGCCTGAGCCTCCCAAGTAGCTGGGACTATAGGCGCCTGCCACAATGCCTGGCTACTTTTTGGTTGGAGTTGTCATTATTGTTTGGGTTCGAACCCTGGGCTGGGTTTGAACCGCTAGCTCTGGTGTATGTGGCTGGCACCCTAGGTGCCAAGCTGCAAGATAAATTTTAAATTCCTTAGTGTGGTCGGGCTTGGTGGCTCAGGCATGTAATCCTAGCACTGTGGAAGGCTAAGGCTGGAGAATTGCTTCAGTTCAGGAATTTAAGACTTATCTGAGAAAGAGTGGGACCTCAACTCATTAAAAAAAAAGAAAAACCCGGCTTAGTGTCCCGGCGAGTACCTGTAATCCCAGTGGCTTCTGGAGGCTAAGGCAGCAGGATGCCCATAGGCAGAGTCTAGGGTTGCAGTGGAACTCTGTCTCAACCAAAAAATCCCAACAAAACAAATAAAAAAAAAACACCTCAAGGAAATTAAAAAAAAGCAACAAGGAAATAAAAAAAAAAAATAAATGAAAACAATAGTGTGGTTTAAAAACCTAATCTGTCTCTGGACTATGGTCTCTGCAGCTTTAACTCTTCCCCTTTGGCCGCCTTCTCCTTGTTCTTAGCTACTTCCTACTTGTCCTTTATATTCTGGCTTGTCATCCCTTCCTCTGATTCCTCTGCAGGGGTTATGTGGCCTATATGGGCTTATGTAGCATGTTGTACACTCATGGTATTTTCTGTTTTTCCAACTGTCACCTCTGTTGGATCATGAATTTTTATTTTTAAACAGAGAGAGTCTCACTCTGTTATACTAGGTAAGGTACAGTGGTGTCATCTTAGCTAACTGCATCCTCCAATTCCTGTGCTCAAGCCATCCTCCTGCTTTAGCCTCCTGAGTATCTGGGACTATCATGCCCTGCTAACTTTTCTATTTTTAGTAGAGATGGGTCTTATTCTTGCTCAGGTGATCTTCCCACCTCGGCCTCCCAGAATGCTAGGATTATAGGCATGACCCACTGGCTATGAGGCTTTTGATGGTGGGATTGTGTCTGTAATTATTTATTATATACCCAGCACAGAACATAATACCACTTAGTAGTAGAGAGCCAGAAAATGCTATTGGTAAATGGCAAGCAAAAATTTTATTAATAAGGGCCTGGTGGGATGGTTCATACCTGTAATCCTAGCACTCTGGGAGGCAAAGGTGGTGGATTGCTTGAGCTCAGGAAATTCGAGACCAGCCTGAGCAAGAGTGAGACCCTGTCTTTTACTAAAACCAGAAAAAACTAAAAAAAAAAAACCCCAAAACAGAAAAACTAGCCAGGCATGGCGGTACATGCTTATAGTTGCAGCTACTTGGGAGGCAGAGGCAAGATCATTTGAACTGAGGAGTTTGAGGTTGGTGTGAGCTATTATGATGCCAGGAAACTCTAGCCTGGGGCAGCATAGTGAGACTCTGTCTCAAAAATAAAAAACATACTGCAGCCTGGTGTGGTGACTCATGCCTATAATTTTGGGAGGCTGAGGTAGGAGGATTGCATGAGGCGGGGAGACTAGCCTGAGCAAGAGCAAAACCTTATCTCTATAAAAAAATTGGCTGGGCCTGATGGCTCAAGCCTGTAATCCTAGCACTCTGGAAGGCCCAGGCAGGTGGATTGCCTGAGTTCACGGGTTCTGGACCAGCCTGAGCAAGAGCAAGACCCCCTCTGTAAAAATAGCTGGGCGTTATGGCGGGTGCCTGTAGTTCCAGCTACATGGGAGACTAAGGCAAGAGAATTGCTTGAGCCCAGGAGTTTGAGATTGCTGTGAGCTATGATACCATGGCACTCTACCAAGGGCGACAAAGTGAAACTCTTGAGTCAAAAAAAAAAAAGAAAAGAAAAGAAAAGAAAAATTAGCTGAGCAATGGTGGCACATGCTTATAGTCCCAGGTACTTGGGAGGCTGAGGCAAGAGTATGCCTGGAACCCAGGAGTTTGCAGTGAACTAAGATAACATCACTGTACTCTAGCCTGGGCAACAGAGTGAGATGCTGTCTCAAAAAAAAAAAAAAAAAAAGGTAAGTATTGGGAATATGTTAAGGATTTATTAGATGTCTTTAATTTGACTGGGTTCAGTTTCAGATGAAAAGTATTTTTATTTTTACAGCTGGTGAATGCATATGTGATGACAAGCCGAGAGCCCCCTTTAAACACTGCAGCTTGCAGACTCCTATTGGACATCATGCCAGGGTTGGAAACTGCTGTTGTCTTTCAAGAAAAGGTACTTAGTACAAAGAAAACCCATCATTTTATTTTTTGATTGGATAGTGATCTATTTAATTTGTCTTTGGTGTTGGGGAAAAAAATTGTTACAGCTTTTGGTTATTCAAATAGTAACATGCCATAAAAATTTAAGAAATCCAGACAAGCAATAAGAAAAAATTAAAAATAGCTGTTTTAGTGAGTACTTATTGCTTAGGTGCTATAGTATTTTTTAAAATCTTTTTTTTTCTTAATTTCTTTAATTTAAAGATAGTCTTGCTCTCTCACCCAGTCTAGAGTACAGTGGCATAAGAATAGCTTACTATAACCTTGAACTCCTGAACTCAAGTGATCCTCTTGCCTCAGTCTCCTGAGTAGCGGAGACTATAGACATGTACCACCATATGTGGTTAATTTGTCTTTTTTTTTTTTCTGAGACAGAGCCTCAAGCTGTCACTCTGGGTAGAGTGCTGTGGCATCACAGCTCACAGCAACCTCCAACTCCTGGGCTCAAGTAATTCTCCTGCCTCCGCCTCCTAAGTAGCTGGGACTATAGGCGCCTGCACAAATCCTGGCTATTTTTTGGTTGCAGCTGCTGTCATTGTTGTTTTGGCAGGCCCAGGCTGGATTTGAATCCACCAGCTCAGATGTATGTGACTGGCACCTTAGCCACTTGAGCCACAGGCGCTGAGCCAGTTTGTATTGTTTTTTGTAGAGACAGAATCTCTCTGTGTTGCCCAAGCTGGTCTTGAACTCTTGGCCTCAAGTGCTCCTTGTATCTCAGTGTCCTGAAGTGATAGGATTATAGTTGTGAGTCTCTGGGCCCAATCAGTTTTTTTTTTTTTTTTTTTTAATTTAAGATTATATGTTTTTAGAATGGATTTATAATCTCATCCAAACCCTTCTATTTAACTATAATAAGATTTCCAGATTGTTTCAGAATATTAACATTGTAATATCTTTAAGAATGAAGCAAGCTGGCTCAGCACCCATAGCTTAGTGATTGAGGCACCAGCCACATACAACTACAACAACAATAACAACAAAAATAACCAGGTGTTGTGGCAGGTGCCTGTAGTTCCAGCTACTTAGGAAGCTGAGGTAAGAGAATCATTTACACCCAAGAGTTTGAGGTTGCTGTGAGCTGTGACACTACAGCACCCTACCAAGGGTGACATAGTGAGACCCTGTCTCAACAACAACAAAAGCAAGCCATGTGGCACCCAATTTTTTTTTTTTTTTTGAGACAGAGCCTCAAGCTGTCCCCCTGGGTAGAGTGCCGTGGCATTACAGCTCACAGCAACCTCCAACTCCTGGGCTCAAGCGAGTCTCCTGCCTCTGCCTCCCAAGTAGCTGGGACCACAGGCGCCCGCCACAACGCCCGGCTATTTTTTGGTTGCAGCCGTCATTGTTGTTTGGCGGGTCTGGGCTGGGGATTCGAACCCGCCACCTTAGGTGTACGTGGCTGGCGCCTTAGCCGGTTGAGCTATAGGCGCCGAGCCGTGGCACCCAATTTTATAGCAAATTCTTAAAGCTAAGAGACAAAATATTTAAATACTTTTAAAAATAGAGTAAAAAAAAAGAATAACTGATTTTTGAGAGTTAAGGTATATGTACTTGTCACTATCAAATTATGAGTGATCTTCCCAGTAACAACTTGGTACTCTTGAAAAGTCCATCCTTTTCTTGGTGGTATTTAGTGTTCATTTAGTTAACACTTTTGAAGACCTATTTTGTGTTAGATGCTGGGAATATTTTTTCAGCAAGATGGGAACTTATGTTTATGTGTGTGTTTGAGGATAGGCAGACACAAGTGAACTGATAATTTGGAATAAGAATAAATGCTGTGGCCTGGTGTAGTGTCTCACACCTGTAATCCTAGCATTCTGGGAGGCCTAGGTGGGTGGATTGCTTGAGCTCAGGAGTTTAAGACCAGCCTGAGCAAGAGCGAGACTCTGCACTACTAAAAGTAGAAAAACTAGCTGGGCATAGTGGTGGATGCCTATAGTCCAACAGACTGAGGAATGAAGATTGCTCAAGCCTACGAGTTTGAGATTGCTGTCAGCTGTGATGATGCCACAGCATTCCACCCAGGGCAACAACAACAACAACAACAAAAAGAGTAAGTTCTATGAAGACAGATGTTAATTTGATACTGACTATGCATGCATAATTCAGCTGTCAGAACTTATTCTATTTTTAGAAGAAGTATAATTATTTTCTTTCTCAGCTTTAAGAATTTGCTGTGTGGGCTGGGTGTGTTGGCTCATGCTTGTACTCCTAGCACTCTTGAGAGGCTCAAGTGGGAGGATAACTTAAGCTCAGGAGTTCAAGACCAGCCTGAGCAAGAGTGAGATCCCATCTCTACTAAAAAATATAGAAAAAGTAGCCAGGCATTATATAGTAGGTGCTTTTAGTCCCAGTTAGTTGGGGGAAGATAAGGCAGAAAAATTGACATAAGCAGAACTAAAAACAAAACTTTTATTTATTTATTTATTTTTTTGAGACAGAGCAACCTCAGACTCCTGGGCTCAAGCGATCCTCTTGCCTTAGTTTCCTGGGTAGCTGGACTACAGGCATCTGCCACAATGCCCAGCTCTCTTTTAGAGACGGGGTCTTGCTCTGGCTCAGGCTATTCTCGAACTCCTGAGCTCAAGCAGTCTACCCACCTTGGCCTCCCAGAATGCTAGGATCATAGGCGCAAGCCAGCATACCTGGGCTTTTTTTTTTTTTGAGACAGAGTATCTGTTGCTCTGGATACCACATCATGATAGCTCACAGCAGCCTCAAGCTCTTGGGCTCAAGTGATTCCCTTGCCTCAGCCTCCTGAGTAGCTGGGACTACGAGTGTGTACCACCCTGCCTGGCTAGTTTTTCTGTTTTTCATAGAGATGAGGTTTGCTCTTGCTTTGGCTGGTCTTGAACTCCTGAGCTTGGGTGATCCTTCTACATCGGCCTCCCAGAGTGCTGGGATTATAAGGATGAGTCACTGTACCTGGCTGAAAAAAAATTCTTTTAATAAGGATTCTTTTGAAAATCAGGATGATAAAAGTAGCATTTATGGCAATATATTTGTATACACAGGCTTTATAGAAGATTACAGATTGATTTCACTATGCTTTATGAACTTTCTCATTTGTCATTGTGGGAAAATTATCTCTGGTCTTTTGAAGTTTTATTATTGTAGATCTTCAAAGAAGTGAATGCCCTTTGATGGTTAAAAAACGGTTTCAGGCATATGATGAATAATAGTTTTCTGCAAGAACAGCTTTATTGTTTCTTCTTAATGATTTAATTAATAACTGATTTCTGTTACTTTGGGAGAATTGACTTATTCAATTGTGTATTAGATTGGAAGTAAGATTTGTCTTGAATTCAGTGTTCTAGAGAACAGATTACAAATGTTTTTCATATCATGGTACTTCACCATTTGATAACATTAAGGTCTATATGCAGAAGTATACTGAGTCAGCACTCCAGGAGAAAGACATGTGTGTCTGTTCCATTAACAAGCATCCTAGATGGTTCTTCCTACTGGAAAGTTTGGGAAATTACACCAACTCAACACCTTGGGGGTTCAGACATTACAAAAAGGAGTTCAAAATTATAATCTGCTGGCTCATGCGCCATCAAGCTTTCATGCTTCTCTGCCACGAGTCTCATTTTCTTTTATTTTATTTTTATTTATTTATTTTTTTGAGACAGAGTCTTACTTTGTTGCCCTTGGTAGTTTGCCATGGTATTGTAGCTCACAGCAACCTCAAAAACTCTTAGGATCAAGTGATTCTCTTGTCTCAGCCTCCTAAGTAGCTGGGACTGTAAGCACTCGCCACAACACCTGGTTATTTTTTAGAGACAGGTTCTTTTTTTTTTTTTTTTAATTAAGTCGTATATACATAGATCATGAATACATTTATGCCTTTGTGGGATTCAATGTGTTGATTATTGTACAAATTGGAGTGCTTACATCCTACTAATTAACATAGCTTTCATCTAATTTAATCACAATGTTAAGACATTTGTGTTCAATACTTGATAGATTTGACTTGTATCCTTGTAGAGACAGGTTCTTGCACATGCTCAGACTGGTCTTGAACCCGTGAGCTCAGACCAATCCACCTGCCTCAGCCTCCCAGAATGCTAAGATTATAGGTGTGAGCCACTGCGCCTGGCCTAGGAGTTTCATTTTAAATTGTCCCCCAAGTGATTGGGAAGATTTGTCAGTTTGGGAAAGGCTGGTGTCATTTATTGTGACATTACTGAGTCCCAAAGGTCTATATCAGCGGTTCTCAACCTGTGGGTCGCGACCCCTTTGGGTATTGAACCACCCTTTCACAGGAGTTGCCTAAGACCATCCTGCATATCAGATATTTACATTACGATTCATAACAGTATTAAAATTATAGTTATGAAGTAGCAATGAAAATAATTTTATGGTTGGGGGTCATCACAACATGAGGAACTGTATTAAAGTGTCATGGCATTAGGAAGATTGAGAACCACTGGTCTAGATAGTTGAATGAAGTCACCGTCTAGTTACTAAATAGAAATATAAAGTGATGGTGGCAGCTATAGCTCAAATGGCTAAGGCACCAGCCACATACACCACAGCTTGCAGGTCTGAATTCAGACTGGGCCTGCCAAACAACAATGACAGCTACAACCAAAAAATAGCTGGGTGTTGTGGCACCCCCCCAACCCTCCTCACCCCGTAGTCCAAGCTACGTGGGAGACTGAGGCAAGAGAATCGGTTAAGCCCAGGAGTTGGAGGTTGCTGTGAGCTCCTCCAGGAGCTCATTTTCAATTGTCCCCCAAGTGATTTGGAAGATTTGTCAGTTTGGGAAAGGCTGGTGTCATTTATTGTGACTTCTGTGAGCACCATGGCCCTCTACCCAGGGTGCTAGCTTGAGGCTCTGTCTCAAAACCAAGAAAGAAATATAAAGTGATAGTACTTCATTTGGGCATCATCAGGGAAGGCTTTCTCATTAGGGTGGTATCCTGGAGGCCTTAGAAGGGAGCC